TAAGTAAAAACGAAACGTTTGATCAAATTTATAATTCTCTTATATAAACAATCGACAGCTAAATTCAACTTAGTATTGTTTGTTTGAATCTTCCCATCGATTTGTTAGGACTGCAACTGGTCAGTCTCTAATTGGCATATGTGCATACTGTGCGTATTGCCTCGATATCCCAGAGTGAACATCAACTCTGAGATGCAGGTACATCCAGCTGACGAGTCCCAAATAGGACGAAACGCGCGTCCTGGATTCCACTGCTAGCCACTATCCATCAATCGACAGCTAAATTCAGGAATATGTCGTCAATTCTACCCAAGCTGTCACAGCAGATTTATCCTTCAAAACAATATATACGGTCAAAGAGTTGGGATCGAAATGAGTACGAATCAAAAAACTTGTGGATTAAAGAGGGTTTAGCTATTCATCAGCTTTTCGACGAAGGTGAAGATTCCTGGCAAAAATATCAGGTCAGAAACTTATGCGACTAATCGAACTGCATATTTGATAAAGATCTACGGAGTAATGTTTTGCGACATAAGTCATAGAATTGATGCAATTGATACATGTTCAATTCGAAAACTTAGTCAAAAAGACGAGTGATTTTGACCCTGTCTCCGACCACAAATTTCAACGTTTTAAATCGTCTCTTCTAGATAGCTACAACTAGTATATAAACACGAAAATAACAAATAAGGTTCTTCTATCAAAGGAACATAGAAATCAACTAAAGCCATTTAGAAACAAAAAAGACCTGTTAATAATACTCCTAGACAAAAGTGCATTTTAGCTATTCATCAGCTTTTCGAACCTGAACTCTACGTGAAAAAGCGGTACGAGAAATCTCCCATTTTACTGTTAACCTATATACTTATTACAATACTTCATACTCAGTAATTAGTTCTTGATAACCTTTTCTGATCTTTTAAACTTATTAATCATTTATTATTATGACTCCTTCGTAATCATTTTTATACACATTCATACTGGTTAAGTGAATAATTATCTCTCATATGTAAGCTGTTTTCATCTTTACACTTTCACGGATCCTGCTGGAATACTTTTATTTCCCAAACAACTAATTATCAAATGAAACGAGATACAAGTTATTCAATACCAGCTAATTCTGAAACACTTAAACAAAGCAGAGGTGAAGATTCGCGACAAAAAATCAGATCAGAAAGTTATTGTGGTGTTTATATGAATCAATGATTTCTTTGTTTTAATGAATTTTGATTTTGAATTCCAAATACAGTACATTCGTTCATGTTCATCTAATACTTCTTGATTTAATTGCGTTATCGCTGAGATTCCTAGTTCATTCTGTAATTCAAATACCTTTAAATATTACATTGGCGTCGTGATGGAACCTGCGATAGAATAGTTTGACATTCATTTAACTTCAAAAGCTTCTGAGGATTATTTGGAAAGGTTTGAGATGTGGAACATGACCAAGAAAGGAATGAAGGGTGATAAAACTGTGGCACATTTTCTTACATTCATCGGTAAAGCAGCCTTCAGTTTTCTAAAAACTTTGGCATATCCTGAAAAGCCTATCTAACTCCCTTATACAATTTATAAGGAAGTACAATTAAATAATGTAAAGTGCACCAATTGTGAATTTTGTGGGAGAGCAAAATTTCATACGGCCTGTTTGAATACCTGGGCTTCCTGTTTCTGCCATCTAAATATTTCAACAAGTTATCTAGGTTTTTTAATTTGTTTTAATCTATCATTATGTCCATTATTCGCATAACCTATACAGGCGCGTTTATAAAAAGCTTACGTCTTTTCGCTGCAATAATTACAAACAAGTACAATAAGAGACATCGTGGTGGTTGGCAATATGCTTTAAAGAGAATAAACATCAATCAACTGTCGATTCCCGAGCTGCTTAACTCTAACTGTCGATCACTAATTAACAAGGTGGACCATCTCCAATTTCTGCTAATTCAAAACATGTATCCTAATTGTGGTGTCATCACAATTCAAGAATCTTGGTTGACTTACTTACAGGATGATTGCTTAGTGTCATTACGTGATTTTAATATCTATCGTCAGGATCGATCAGACAATAAAAAGACTTGTGGTGGCGGAGTAGCTACTTTTGTAAACGTTAACTGATGCGAAACTTAGACCCATAGCAATAACCTCACCTTTCCTTAAAATAATGCAAAAATTACTGATACAACCACTTCAACCTGCAATAAAAGAGTACTGTGATCCATTTCAGTGTGCTTACAAATGCAAAAGAAGAACATTAGATGCCGTTGCTGTTCTGCATCACAATATAGTGTTCGGGTTGGAAAAGGGTAAGAATTATGTTAGATGCGCTTTCCTGGACTTTACTTCTGCTTTTGATTCTATTCCAAGACAACTCTTACTTAACAAGCTGATCAGCGTAGACACTGACAGCTGGATAACCAATAGGCTACTTCCTACCTTTCTGGTAGAGAACAGTACACTGTATTTGAAGGAAAGTGTTCAACATCTCTACTGTCTAATGTAGGTGTGCCACAAGGAGCTGTTCTTTCACCTTTGCTCTTCGCCTTTTTTTGCATGATCTGCCATCTTCCACTGAAAACACTTTTGTAAAATATGCGGACGACCTCACTGTATGTATGCCAATTTCTACCTCCTTACACCCCATAGAAATGAATGAGTTTTTATCTCGTAATGAAAGGTGGCCTGTTGGTAATAGTCTCTTACTCAATCCATCTAAATTTCAAGCTGTTAATTTTAGCTTGAGACATGGACAGAACCTATACTCTATGTTGGGATCCCATAATGCTTGTGGCAGAAGTGACATTTTGATAAACACACTGTCGAAGGTAGATTACTTCGTGTTACGTTTTCCTGTGATCTCTCTTGGTCTTCTTATGTTTTACTGATATCTAAAAACTTTTTACCGTTTGACTTACTACATAAAGAAGCTGCATGCTTTTGGAATTACTCGCCATTTACTCTTACAATTTGTAAATTCCTGCATATTACCTATTATTTTATATTGTTCCCCATTATTCTTCCCGGGCTTTTGAGAAAAGACTTTGCTGTACTGCGGAGAGTGCTTAAGGCAGTTAGCAAGAGGTGTGATGAATCTTTTGAGGTCATTATTAATATGCTTGCGGATGGACATCTTAAGTGTTGCAAACTCCTGGCAGGTGTTATCTTATCAGATACTAACCATCCGCTTCATTCATATCTTTCTCCTTGTATATCTTCTGGTAGAACGAGACGTAAATACATTAAAATCCATGCACGCAAGCAAATATATAAAAGTTCTGTAATACCTTACCTTGCAAATTTACTTTGTGACGAACAGGCTGCTAGAGTTGACCTAGTAAATAACCTGTACTCTTAAGCATGTCTCAAATTCGATAATTTGTATAAACTCAGATTTTCCTAAACCTTTTTTAATTTCTTTTTTGGTAAAAAAAAACTTGTTGAAATAACTCGTGCTGAGAATTCTATATTGTACCTGATTATAATATTGAATAAAGTCATTAACAATAATAATAACCAAAAGGTTAGGGAATTCATCCTTGAATTTCAAATACAAGCTGCCAAATGCAATTTTAGTGATCAACTTCATGTACAGCTGAGATCGATTAATTGCAGGAATTAACATACCAAGTCTGGAAAAAGAGCTGTTAAGAATGCCGAAATGTTCCTTTCAAGATGCAAGAACTGTATGTATTAACTACGAAGCCGTGAATGAACTTGATATTCAATCGATGAAAATTTCTAATATTTTGCTCAGTCGTCATGATGAAATACAATCTCAGAGTCGATCAAATTTGCGTTCGTTTAATCGTGATTTCTATTCTCGTGGAAATATGAAAGGTAACTGAACAAGGAATGGCGAAGCAAACAACAAAGGCGAGCTATTTTGGTAAATGTCTATCGTGTGGCAAATTTCATTCTCGTAATTCATGTGCATTTAGTAACGCTAAATGTTGTAATGACCGGCTTGTCTCTATAAGAACACAATTGGAATAGCAGAAACAATTATTATTGTAGCGAATTGTACCAGAGATTGTTTTACTGTACTTGTTTAACTGTATCAGACTCACTTCTGGTTCCGCTATCCACCCTGTTCGGTTCGAACTTTCTTACGCTCTGCCCATTTTGCCTTTACTCGTTGGAACGTCTCGGTATTCTTTCGATACCACGAGATAGCCAATAAATATACTCTATCTGGACTAATTAAAGCCTTCTGATTTGCAAGTTATCAAAGGAACTAAGTCGTTGCTGGGCGCGTAATCGAATTGTAGTGCTGATCATAGTCCGTCCTCAACTCGACGTCACTACAATGTTTTAAATGTGACAAGATAGGACACATTCGGTCAGTGTGCAAAACTACTGTTCACTTTGCTGCAAGTATTACTTAGTTTTGTGACTTAGATCCCAATAATTCGTTTGTTCTTAATGTTCTTTTATCTTTACCCACCGTTTCGAAAGGTAGTGTTCATATTCAAGAGCGATTATATACATCCCATGGTTCATTTCATGAATTTACTGTGGACACATATAGTATACAGTCCATTATTTCATCCAAGAACTTGAAATCCTTAGATCCTAACGTAAAACCCACTGAAGTCTCAATATTAAGGATTACTGGACACAGACTACCCATACGAGGATGCTGTGAATTGCTAATAAGAGATGATTATTTTTCATATGTACCTTGTGATTTTTAGTTAGTGAAACAGGACTGTCAACACTGGGGTTAAAAAATGTGGAAAGGCCTAAAGTGGAATTATCTTTACTAGTTTCTACTGAGAATTCTGAGGCTCTACTCAAAGATTTGATAGCTGCGTGTGCTGAGTGTAGTTGTGATATGAAAATTCAGCCTATAAAACTTCAAGTACAGGGTGATTCAGTCTTTCTTGGAGGACGGATAATTCCTTATGGTCTTCGAGAAGCAGTACATAAGTCATACATAAGGATAACTGATCTGATTTCTGCGATGTTCTGATTGTAGATTGTGTTAGAAAGAGCCCGATGACCACGAAGCGCCATTTCAATAGTTGGTCAGTGCGTCTATCACTAACCAGGTTGCCGGTCTCTTGGCAATTGGTCAGACCCAAGAAAGCGATCATAAGGCCGCTCCCCAGACATTACGACGCGATAAGACCCAATCAATCTACTTTTTCCGACAGTAGCTCGTAGATCTACATTACGAAGTAAGTCTAAACAATGATGAACGAATGACTTCCCTATCCATCAAACTCTTGAATGAGCTATTTCATTTTTGCGTTACCTGACACAATCCTTACTACTACTAGAATTTGTCTCTTACTAAAACTATCAACTCACTTGTCAGCTGACCACATTTTTCCAATTCAATACAAAATTTCTATCTACCTCAATGTTTACGGATGAGTGGCATATCGTTAACAGGAGCACAATAAAACAATCACTGCGAAGGTTAATTCTAAATCTTATTCTTCAATAAGAAATGTCATCTGTCATATAAACTGACAGATCAAACTATATTAAACTAGTTGCTGAAGTCTTAATCCAAAAACTCTAACGATAATGTAAACTAGTATTATGAAGCATTAAGGCTGTGAAGTTGCGGAATCATCGATTTTCTTTTTGAGAAGATTCAAAATACTAGCGAAACCTGAAAGTGGAGTTTTCAGTAAGCAACTAGTACAACTGAAATTTTCAACTGACTTTGTAATGTAGGCATACCACATATTCAATGTGCTTTAGTGTTGACTGTTGAGGTGACTCCATTTCGTAAAGAATTGCTAATAAAACCAAGAATATGTCATTTAGTTTAGCTCACCAGACGTACCAGTCCTAAAATCAGGATTTCGGATTATATTACACCGATTTGACATGCAAAATGTTCATACCAGTAACCTCTGTGATATATACACTGATAAATTTACTTAAAAAAGACTATTTGTTTAGTCTTTTTAGTACTTTTATTTCCTTAACAGAGTAATAACAGCAAATTCTAAAAGTATAAAATAAATTAAATTACGTTTCTAAATAGAAGAGTTACAAGCAAATATCTCGTTGGTTTTCTTGTTATCTATAAAAAAGAAAAAGAAATGATTTTGCTAATACAGTAATGATGGTTTACAGTCAAACTCCATAACTGGATGATATGTAAGTCTCGTAACACTACTTTATACTTTTTCACCGAAAGCTAAAATTGCTAGTGTGAAGTAACTTGAGGAGGTAACATGGAGTATTCGGATTTTGGAGGTATGGATGATGGTATGTTGATCATTCTAGAAGTTTGGGATTTTTTGACAGACCTTTACTTATCGAGCTACGACATAGTTCACATTTAGAGGGTGGTTCAGAGCCGATCACACAAACAACAAATTGCTGAATAAGTAACACTAGTTATAATTGTAGTTCACAACACAAATGAGTTGATAACTGTAGAGAAGTTTGATCAACCACTTCCTTTACATTCATGTTTACCGACCTCATCCTAACAAAACCAAATATTTAGCTGCAAATGTCAGACATAATTAACATTGGTCCAAGATGTCAAGCCACATCAGCATAGTCGGTTAAACTTATCAAGAACGCCAGTGGTGGTAATAGTAATACTGGTAACAAAAAATATTGGGTAGACAGATGAACATATAATCTCTAATAAACATGTACACAAAAATCGGATACTTATAAATTGAACCTAAGTTGTATTTTTAGTGTCTGAATAAGAATTAGACAAATTATTCCTTCATAAATTGATCAGGCTTGTTTCAAAAAGCAGTAACTAATCGATTTTACGCAGTTCCGATGATGATAGTCTTCTAAGTTGGCACTGTGGTCAGTACGATTAAGTGATCTTTCTGATTTTCTTCTATTCCATCATAAATGATAACCTAATAACAGATTTAAAAGAACGTCGTTGTGGTGCAGACACGTTTTCAGCACAAAGACTAATAAACTTTGAATACGCTAGCATTATTTTACCGGTCAAATGACTTGATTATTTAACTTGCCTTTTGCTGTGCCGAATATTCTTGAACACTGCAACTGCCTTTTATGTGTTGTTGGAAATTATTTATTAGCATAAATATGAATGTTAATATACCAAGATTTTTCAAAGACTGTACAAAGGACCTCAATGCGGTTGTCTCATAAGCACTATGGTCACGTTCCTGAGTCGCCAAAACCACTATTAATCCATCTTCCTTTTCAGATGACCGAAGAAAAATTATCATTCCGTGATATAGAAATCCGGGAAGTGACAACTGTCCACACATCTTGATCAGCACTCAAGATTCTTTTGTTCATGTTTGAATCCGTTTGTCACTGCTTAAAATTTATTCTACCTATTATCTTATGATTTTACCCACACACATCATTAATGCTAACCATCCGAGTTCACAAAATGTTATTCCTAGCCTCTTAAAACCATGCTCTAAACCATATGTTGGGGCTTTCGACATTCCAGCTTTACCTCAAAACAGACTTCATAAGCTAGACCTATAGAATCTCGTGCTGTCTTTGTAACCCACATACAGGATTTAAGTGTAGTCATTCACTTGACCTCACCTAGTCAGGATGAAGAAAGACCATGATCTACTATTCGTGTGTCTGGAGACTCGACCGGTACTTCTCGTGAACTTGTTAGCGTATGCATAGCACAGAGTTCCAAAGCAGAACAGGTTCTCCTGGTCTAGATTTCGGTGGACAGTCGCTTGTGAGCAGTCTGACTAGACGGGACGGTAAGAACAAGGAAAGATAAGGACACACTCTGTTGACTCTGCCTACGATCCCATTGACTGAGGCTAAGATGAAAATGAGTTTTACAGAAAGCTTTCTGTTCTTTTTCAAGGAATCAAACACTCAGTCACAGTAATCATAACAGGTGGCTATATCTTAACCAAACCATAGGGAGATCATTTGGATTCTAAGTGTCCCAGCTCAGCGAACAGATAACGGTACTTTCTGCCGCAAATATGCTTAGACAACCCGGTTAGTTCTAGCGATCATAAACTTTAAACGAAAAGAAACAGCGTCTGACACGGCGACCCCACGATATTATCAGCGGTGGATGCAAGTAGACCATATCGCAATCAGCCATCGTTAGAGGCTCGACAAAGAACTTCGCTCATTCTAGAGCATATGTCTAGATCCTGACATTTCAGAACGGGAACGCGTTTGTATATGTCTTACTGGACGCAAAAATGTCACAGCAAAAAGATCTTTTAGAAGTCAACTTAACGATGAATAAATCAAGAATCCTTCAAGAAAAACTAGAGCAGTTATTTAAATAGCAGCGTAATCTTCATCCCGCTGTAGACTGGTATGATATTCAAACAGATTTGGAGATAATAGTGATATCTATCGACCGATTATAAGCCACATTACTTAACATCAACTATTCTTTAGGAAAATAATATGGAGTGTAACTAAGTAGTTTATTTATTTATTTTATTTATACACATAAATATTGGTACAAGGAAGCACCAGATAAATATGCGCCTCACAAATCTCATTCGATTTGTGTGAGGGCTGTGATACTGTCCAGGTGCCCAGACTGAAGCACGTGGTTTTCTTAGGGGGCCACACCCCGAGCCTTTGACCTGAATGTCTGATCCACAAGGCAGTGGAGCATCGTGAGGCGATCCATTCCCATGGTAGCCGGTGACCAACAATTGGTTCATACGCCATTCGTTCCTTCAGGATACTGGAGACCATGTGCACCATTGGTTTGGAATCAGGGTTTTCCAACTCCCCTAGGTGGACTATCCGTGTCCACCAACCCGATAAAAGCGCTGGATATTCGCTTTTCGTCCTCTCAATTTCATAAACAACACCCCCGCCACGAGAAGGTAATGAGTAGGACATCCTTGGCAGAGGCTATATTACACATAGCCATGTGAGATTATTTCGAGGAGAGCGGACTCTTCCCGCTCTCAGCCATACCAGGGCATTTAGGGGCAGTAAGTAGTGTACACCCATAAACACAGTCTAATTCAACAGATATTGACTTTGTAGATTGATACACCTTGGCCCCCAAATGCCTTGGTACGGCCGAGAGTGGGGAGAGTCACCTCTCCCTCTCGAAATGCTCTCACATGGCCAGCGAATATATAGCCTCTGCCAGGGAAGTCCTACTCACTGCCTTCTCGTGGCGGGGGTGTTGTTTACGAAAGTGAGAGGACGAAAAGCGAATGTTCGGCGCTTTAACCGGGTTGGTGGACATGGAGGGTCCACCTAGGGGAGTTGGAAAACCCTGATTCCAAACCAGTGGTGCACATGGGCTCCAGTATCCTGAAGGAACGAATGGCGTACGAATCAACCGTTGATCACCGGCTACCATGGGACTGCATCTCCTCACGATGCTCCACTGCCTTGTGGATCAGACATTCAGGTCAAAGGCTCCGGGTGTGGCCCCCTAAGAAAACCACCTGCTTCAGTCTGGGCACCTGGACAGTATCACAGCCCTCACACAAATCGAATGAGATTTGTGAGGCGCATATTTATCTGGTGCTTCCTTGTACCAATATTTATGTGTTTAAATAAATAAATAATAATAAACATCTTGGTTTGCCCACCCCTATATTTCTTCAAAACTTTTCTACACCAGCTAACATCACACGTCGCAATAGGTGCTTGAGCACATGTAATACACCATCAAACCACATAAGGTGGTGAAGATTCACTGTCTCATCAACTGATGTGTCATCCTAACCGTCCTAAGTCTAATTTCAACATTGCTCACTCGATGTTTCTAACATACGCCTGTGTTGCTTTGGGCAGCTGAGTGAGATAAAAGTTATTGTAAGAATGACTTTAAACTATGTGTACATAGGACGCCTTACACATTTAAGGAGAAATAAGATAAATTTGCATTTTATCTGAGGATAAGCAAGTGACAGTCATGAAGTTATGAATCAGAGAATAAACGAAACAAACTTCGGTTGGAGACAGTCAGTTGTGTTGGTTGTGAAGACTTCTTAATATGAAACAAAGAAGTCGGTTCAGTGAAAGGTTTTCTTTTGGGCGACTTTCCTCTCAAAGCTATACAACTGCAAACATATACTTTTTCACAATAGTAAACCATAATGTTTACTAATAACAATAATTTGTTAGCCACGCTAACAGAGAATAAAACAAAAATACCCCTTGATTAAGGAAATCATTAAAGCAAAACATCAAGGAGATACATTTTAGTTGATTATATGGGGCTATTGAGTCTATTGGATTATGCAGTTTTGCATCACTGACTGACCTTAGTTGAACAAACATTGAAAACCAGGAAGTACTGAACAGCTGTTACGTCCTAATATGGAACAACTAAGCAGTGTGGGTATGCACGATCGTACCAGTGATTCGGCCCGTGACTTACAGACCACTGAGTTGACATCCAACGTCCCGTATTTCTAACTCTAGTCAATTTGCGACACTGAGCGGTAATCACTGAAAAAATATCTCTTTGCTAAACCACATACTTGTTTAGATGGCTTTTAGTGTTGAGTTATCAATATACTTAGTTTTGTTTGAATATATATCAATTCAGCCATCAGTATTTACATTTTCTTATACTACATTCAATAGTTATTACCATCATAATGGTGGCTTAAATATAGCTTTTTGTCATTACCATTAGCTTTATCATCTTATATCACTGTACTAATAACAAGTTACATAAGTTCCTCATTGCAGGTTACATCACTACCTAACTCCCAATTATTTCGTTCCTTTACAAAGTAGGGTTGTATGAATGTAAGAGGTAGTTATAATTGTTATTCACCAGTAAAATAAATGACCTAGCGCATGTTACAAACGTGTTACGTTCTATATGTAAAAAATTAGTGCATATGTGGGCGATTCAGAGGATGTGAAATAAAATGAATTTACTTCATTTATACGGTGTGTTATGTTTGCTAATAATAATAATAACAATAATAATAATAAGAAGAAGAATCTGTCAGTATATTGGGTGGTGATTTATTTCTTGATAGAGCTATGAAAGCAAGAGGAAGATATCATCGATTTGACTAAAGGAAGGATTTGACAGTCCAGTCGTTGAGCCGTAACATTAGCACTATCTTTTCAGCTACTAAGGAGTCCCAATAAACAAAATAAGGGATAATTACTGAAATAATATAATATCACGCTAAGAATTGATATTTCTCCACATGAATGATCTAGAGTTCCTTACCAACAAACTATCCTACAAGGCAAGATGGAGTGGGCTTTCATAGTCAGTTTTTCTCAACAGTATTGATTATTTCGAGCATAAACAGAACAGTAATTGATATTAGTTATTCATTCTTTAAACCACACTGCTCGTAGGACACCATTAAAAGCAATATGCATTTGATTCAACATACTTAAATACGTCATTGAAATACATAGATACATCATGCCCCCAAACGCCGTGGTTCAGTCAAGAGTGTGAAGACTCAGCTCTCCCTCTCGAAATACTTTCACATGGCCACGTGAATACAGCCACTGCTAGGAAGTTCTACTCACTGCCTTCTCGTGGCGGGGGTGTTGTTTACGAAATTGAGAGAACGGAAAGCGAATGTCCGGAGCTTTACCCGGCTCTGCGGATATGGAGGACCCACCTAGGGGAGTTGAAAAACCATCATTCCAAACCAGTGGTGCAAATGGGCTCCAGGTTCCTGGGGAAACAAATGACGTACAAACTTATTGTTCGTCGCCAGCTATCATGGAACTACATCTCTTAAAGTTGCTCCACTGCCTTGTGGATTACACCTTTAGGTCAAAGGCTTAGGGTGTGGTCCGCTAAGATAACCATCTGCTTCAGTCTGGGAACCCGAACAGTATTCCATCCATCATACAAATCAAATTATTTATGTGGCGCATAAGTATTTGGTGCCTCCTTGTACCATAGTTTAAGTAAATAAGTAGATACATCATACGACTCAAAGTGCAGGCCATATAACTTTTAACGTGATAAATTGATATTTTTACCTTCCCAGTACTTATTAAATATGAAAGTGGGAGCAAATGTTTCTTTCGCAGAAAAATATTTCACGTCTGTTGTTTCCTATTGTTTGAACAGTTTAACAAACTTGTACCCTTTCAGTTGCATATGTATTGTTTCAGAAACTGATAGACTTTTTTAAAGTAAAAAGAGAACCCAACCAATTGTAAAACTTATTAAGACCTAAATATGCGTAAAACTTACAGCAGATATGTGTGTACTGCAATGATTTAGAAAATTAAGGGGGATATGGCTGGTTCCCATAATGGCCTGGGCCATAATTTTGCTGTGGCATTCCTGGCTGCGGAAAATAACCTGTTTGGTGAGAACCGCCAGGTTGAGAGAATGCATTTGACTGTGAAAACATGCCAGGGTTAGGACAGACTGCAGGTTGTTGTGGCATCATTGGAGCTTGTTGCATGGGGTTGAAAGGCTGTGCAGGCGGATTTTGTGGTGTCATGGTATTAGGGTAAAGTGGGTTATGTTGTTTGCAACCACCAATAGTTTGTCCACCTGGTCCATATCCTCCTGTCATCCCATGCTTATAAAGTAAAAAAGATTAACATACAAATGATTAGGGACCACCTTAGTGAATATTATTTTAACAACAAAGAATATAAGCTAAGTTTTCGAGCGATGGTGAAAGGCAGATCACTTAAACCGAGAGCACTCATTAATAATTTGTAATTAGTTTTGCTTTTTTCAAGCTGACTAATAACAAATTTGTTTTATGTTAACCATATTCTCTGATTAGTGAAGTAAAAAGCAAAATGATTGGTGACACCTTTACTATCTAGATATATTCAATCACAAGTAAAATATCAAAGGATTTTAACACTGGTATCACAATATAATTCACTTTCTTTGTAGATGTTTTTTTTTATTTTTTTAACTTTCGCAACTCAATTAAATAAACCGCTCTCACGACATAATTTTTGCTAGTCACTTTAAACGTAACTAGTATATATAATTGCATAATTCTCCCCATGATTATGTAAACGTCTGAACCAAACTTCCTACTGACTCATTATAATCGCCTGTTGTATACATTAAAACGTTTGCTTCAACAGGCTTCTGAAATATTAAAATTCTCCATTATATACTGTTTAATCTTATGGTTTAAATTTTTGTTATAAACGTAAGGATACTGATTATAACGCCAGACTTTCTTGTTATAACAGTCCTTTCACTTTTTACACGTATGTGGGACGTTAGTTTACCTTACACGAATATCTACACTAGATTCCCACCCAGTGTCTATTCTACAGGACTTCAACACAACTCAGATCAAGAACACGAGATTAGTCTGACTACAACGTCAATATATTTCCACACCAAAATCCGACACAAGGAACAGTCAAGAAAAGGGAATATATAACACATAACACCTGTCACACTATCTACATGTCTGACTCATCAAGACAACCGATCATTGTCATTCTCGCCCATACATCAATTTTATAATTTGAATAGTTAGCAAATCCTAGCTGGTAACTGATGGCTGGTGATGGTTAATAACAAGGATAAGATATTTTTAGACTCGTTTAAGAGATACAGATTCATGTAGATATTTTTGAGCCAGACTCCAAGTGAGAGGGCTGTTGATATTGACTACATGATAGCTCAGACTGGTGTGGGTTGAACAAGCTTTAAACCTGACTAAAATGAAAGCAATCGAGTACTGGTTGATTACTGAAAGGTAACAAATGTTACGGTATTTTGATCCTAGTACTGACTAAACTCGACCAACTTATTTATTTAAGCACATAAATATTGGTACAAAGGGGCACCAAATACATATGCACCACACATATTTGATTTGTGTGAGGGCTTGGATACTACCCAGGTGGTTTCCTTAGGGGACCAGATCTAGAGCCTTTGACCTAAAGGTCTGATGCACAAGACAGTGGAACATCGTAAGGAGATGCAGTCCCATGGTAGCCGGTGACCAACGATTGATTCATACGCCATTTGTTCCCTCAGGATACTGGGACCCATGTGCACCATTAGTTTGGAATGATGGTTTTTCAACTCCCCTAGGTGGGTGCTCTATATCTGTCAAGTCAGGTAAAGCTCCGGACATTTGCTTTTTGTCCACTCAGTTTCGTAAACAACACCCCCGCCAAGAGAAGGTAGTGGGCTGGACTTCCCTGGCCATGTGAGAGCATTTCGAGTGGGAGAGCGGACTCTCTCCACTCTCAACCGCACCATGGCATTTGGGGGCTAAGTTTGCTATCAATTTATTCAGTTTACAGATTCGATGCTTAAATGCATGCGACGTAGGCTTCACAGTATTCTAATATAACTGTTAGGCAACAAATACTAGGCGTTAAGATACTTAACTCAACACTTTCTAGCTCGTACAAGTTTGGTGCATAAAATTTGCGCACGAATACAAGATGATTGGAATGATTGTGAAAAATCACACATTTAGGTCGGTTACCTGATATCTTTGCATAAAGTTTTGGTCGCAGGCTAGAGCACCATGAGGGCAATATCCGCAAATACAACGGTTTTTCTAATGATATAAAAAATTAAAAGCACATACTTTCATCATTTTTTTTCTGTATTTCAAACGTCGCTTCTCGATTCGTTCAGGCCTGTACCTGCCACCAGAACTACTGCTAGAACTGCTGCTGCTACTACTACTACTTCTTTTCCCATAACCTTTCTTCTTACCCATTGCGTCGCAGTTTCTTATGGGAGTACGTTGAAGTAGACTAGAAAAGGAAGACGTGATGTACAAGAAACAAAGTTACTAACACAATAGATTATTTTCTACAATAAGTTTGTGTGGACTTATAAACCGATATTGAACGGCAACCAGAGCATTTCGACTTCAAAAATTGAATCTAGCAGCTGTGGGCAAAAATCCAACGCCTTTATAGTACTGCAGGTGTGGAAATTAAGTTTAAGCCAAACAACAAAACTTTTAGTAACAAAAACAATATGAGTAATCTTATCCCGAAGAAATATCAATAAAATGAACTTGAAAATTCGTAATTTTCAAGAGATAAACAGAGATGAAAACATGGAAGCTCTCAAATACTCCGTTTTTTATCAATGAACTCTGGGGAATAAACCAAATGATCATAAAACCTTAGCAACACAAACAAATACATGACATATAACAATGTAACGAACGTGATGAGTTTTAAACGATAAACAAGATTTAACAAAGAGGATTTAGTTTCCGTGGTACAAATGAAACATGGATGCAAACCTGTGAACGGGTCCTGAAGACATTAACTAGATGGCATCAACAAATCATGACACCGTCTTAGCAGACTATATTTATTTATTTGAACACATAAATATTGGTACGAAGTGACACCGAATACATATGCGCTACACAAGTTACTTGATTTGTGTGTGGGCTATGATACTACGCGGGTGCACAGACCGAAGCAGGAACAGACTATATTGAGTTGTCCATATTCACGAACAGACATCAAGATTCATTTAAATCACCTGACCAGTAGTACAATACAACAGTGAAAAAACTTAGCGCATAGCGAGGTTAATACTTACAATTAATCGCCATATTGGGAAAAGATATACAATGGATGAAAAGCTTTCCAAAGTACAAACCTATAACCATAAGATAGCGAGCACCAATTGTAATTTAAAAAACAACTTGTTTCACAATATAATGGATTACATAGGTTGAAAAACATTCTTGATGACGAGATGTTTCTTTAGGTGAACACTACTGAAGCAATAAACTATTAACTATAGTAAACTACAAAGTGAAATGTGACCATTTTATCAAAAAGGAAACTTTGTGCTCATAAGAGGCGAAAAAAGTAAAAGATGCTACTGTTGGAAGACTGAATAAATAAATTGCTTCATTCACATAAATACGTCAGTGAAATTTAAAATTATGGAGAGCTTTATGCATTATGCTGAATTAAAGCATACCCATAGAATTACTTTCAGTTTTAAGTAAGAGATTTTATCGCTTGTATTATTTCGAAACCTTTACGAGGTTACCTAGATCAAAAGCTTTCGTCAATTAAAAAACTAAATTTGTCAAAATATGTGGAGAAAGCTACTATATGGCCATTTTAAAAATATAACTCCGAACATTCAAGTATTCCAGATGATTTTTAGTGCATCGCATTGCTGCACTGAAACTTGAAACTCTACGTCGAACATCAGAATTACTCACCCGATGGACACATCAAGTGGATAGAATGCTTTGAATACACTCACAATCAAGTACTTTAGACCTATAAATCTTCCACTTTCATAAGCTATAACTTGTGATTATAGAATTATGCGGAGCGAACCGATGAGCAGTAAACTTGGTTCTATATCGATGAACGGATATCTCACTTACAACACAGGCGACGAAAGTTGACAAGCACTAAGTTTCTAAGTCCGACCAGAGACTTGGTCAGTCATCAGCTCTTGACTTATTAACCTTACCATCCGGAGACTGAAACAAAAAGGATGGACAATAGGAAACTTGTATGTAATTTATTATTTAAACAACACAGACAGGTTCGTCGCACTAGAAATTTAACTGGATCAGGGAATTTATCTCCTGTAGGCAGCAAAGGTTAATACCGAAGTTTCTTTTGAAATCAATAATATGATGCAACTCAGAACCACCAAAACATTAACAGTGTTAGATTCTCTTGGTAAATTTGTGTCTTCAACTTTAGTTTCTCTCAATGCAGTTATGGTCCATCAAGAAGGTTACTGTGGGTGACTGGACTACTTATTCGCAGGATTAAAAAGAGCCCGAAGATGACCCACTTTGCTATAGTGAGGGAAGCAACTTTATTCTTGACAACGCGCCTTGTTTCGGTATCCTCTCATTTGCCAACCAAAGGTGCAATCCTAGATAATCAGAAGCTAGTACTTATCATATCATTTTTCGAAGGTGACTGATGCGATGAACCTTTAAGCAGGAGTTTAGTGGCACTTCTTTCAGTACCCCCAAAGATTATGAAATCCCTGGTATATGGTGGCATATGCGACTAATTTTTATCTATAACCATCCTTCACCCCAACAGAACGGTTTCGGGGAAGGCCACTCCAAGATCATCAATCGGCTGGCTGCAATCGATATACGACCTGCCATCATCGATATCAAAAGAGTGTTGGTGATATACGTCTATTTCTCGAAAGCTTTTGGTCAAATTCTTTAGAAACCTCTATGCAAATACAAAAAACTAGTGAAAAACAGGGACGGGGAATGTACATTTTCAGTACTGTGATTCTAACCTCCTACCAAACCGGCTGATGACCTGACACTGCTGTCTATGGACACCGGGCATGTAGCTTGACCATAGTAGCTAAGCCAAATGCAAATAACTGACAAAGAGTGGTTAACTGGTCAAAAGGGGGGACTGTAAGTTATGGACGACTTTTGGACGAATTCTAAATGACCTTGAGAAGTATTAACCAATCAGTAAACCTTCAGCGCTTAGTAAAAATATATCATACAAATTCAAAGAATTAAAGTGGATACACTTCTTTTACATAGTCCAAAAACTTGTCAAGGTTAGGAAAAGGTTCAAAAATCGTAATGCATAAGGTAGAGGAACTCATCCATATGGCTGCATAATAGTCGATCTATGGAGCCATAAGACCACAAAAGCCCTTTCAGCCTTGACCACATAGCTTCAGTATTATTTGTGTTTACTCCTGTTTTGTAAGTTCATCATTTTTATTATGGATATGTCCTTTCAATACTGATACTACTGGACAGCCGAATTTTCTGTCATATCTACGATTATTGCAGCCAATGTTACTGGTGCTTTTATGATACAGGTCGCGGCAATCATCACGATATGCCTTAGTCTAATTCTGGATTGAGAGAAAAAGGTTCCTATTCTAGCAAACGTCTCGCTTCAACATATGTTAGACCGAAGGAAAACAGCACGGTAGTCTGTACAACGTCTACAAGTCATTTGAATACAGCAATTACAGATAAAGAAACCTCTTAGTAGTTTCATTTGCTCTAGCCGCCTAACTGTCAAGTCATCTCTAAAGTCACCTGTGAACCGACCGTACATGAGCATCAGGTTCTGAAATTTGCGCCGTGACCTTGAAATCCCTCAAACGCTTCTGATTGGCTCGACCATGAATTATAGCTTTGCGGTCAAAAGATATAAAACTGAATGCGTTTACGAAAGTCTAACTCTTATCTCTTAGTCATTTGACTTGACAATGCTTCTACGTTGTCTTATCGTAGGTTGCGTATGATAGTACTAGAAGTAAAATTCTTGAACATTGGAGTACTGTAAGCAAAGAAGTATAGCCTTCTACTACGTATTACACTAAACCAGCTTGGAAGTCCACTGGAATTTTCAGCAAGGAAAATGGTCAGGCAATACACTGTATAAGACAAGATGCACCTACATAATGAGACACGATAGATAATTATCGAATAAACCACTATAGATAAAGGGACTTTGTGGCCACTTCAAACACCAGGCACATTGAAACAGACCGCCAAATGACCTGGCAGTTCAGGGCTGTTGACCATCAAACTCCAATATTTTAGCACGAGTTCGTATAAACCGTTCGATTTATTTGTGCTCGCTACTTGTTTTCTCAGTGCTGTTTCAGGTAGTGGGTAATTTCCAATGTGCGGTAATCTAGCTACTTGATTGTAATGTTTCTAGTCAGTTTGGTAGTCTTTTGTGGATTTTCTAATGTAACACAGGTATTTGGATTTTGACAACACCTTAAGTAGTAACACCTTCTGTGATTGAATCCTACACACCTAGTGAATTCATAATTCAGAATCGAGGGTTTTGAAGATATATTTGATAGGCTGTCAATATATCGAGAATCGACTGATCTAGGCTGTCTGGTGATTGCTGTGGATGTTGGGCATGGCGTTCCCCCTGGTGATCTAGTGCGGATGCATTACCGAGCACCTTTAGAACGGTGAGTCCATTAAAACCAATGCAGTCAGTATCAAATGTCGAAAACTTACAGAGCTATTGATATTGGGGATTTATTTACTACAACCCTCGAGAGAGGGTTTGTCTTCTAGTGGTCCTATATCTGACTCCAATTAGATCGTATATCGATTGGCATTGGAATATACATCCTGGCTATCCTCGTATATAATTATCGACCTATCTCGCGTTAGTGAGTCCCGGGATTAAATAAGCCAAATAAGAGAATGGATTTTGTATACGTATATTTCATGCACTCACTGATGTGAACAGGCAATCAGGGAAATGAAACGTAGGGGGAAGAACAGAGCAGATTGTAGAGCTAACTCGATTTAATCAGGCGTAAATCAATATTTAATATTATAAAAATAAGCTACAGACATGTGATGAGTAGGATAAGATGTGTACACATGTATGCTAATCTAAAAATAGTCAGAATAAATAGGATAATAAGTAACCACGTAAGAACGTGGTTTAAAACGAATGAACAGGTTGGAATGTCCTGAAACTAAAATAATCAATATGCGTTTAACATAGAACATGAAGTTGCATTAACCTTCACAGTCTCATGGGATTAGGTATTCTACATTTAAGAAGTTATCACATTAACAGGCAGGATGTTGGCTGTTTGCAGTTTGAAAAGTAATAAAATGATTTTTCGTGTGCTGGGAGATGACTGTTTCAAGAAATAAATAGATAAGTTAAATAATTAGTAGTGTGGAGAGTGTGAGTATGTAGTGGCATTGGATCCTAACCATAGTCCTCAAGGCTGAACATTAGATAACTGGGAAAATATACTTTTGACACATAACACTAAGAGAAGGTCAATGATGGTGAACGCGATATTATTCATTCGAAATTCAATTCATTGGATGGCATGGCTCAGCCTTGCAGGCGTGCTCATTCTTGTGTAACTCTTTTATTCATATTAAATATATTGTTCCATCTCAAAACTAAATGTCTTCTCCATCATATGTTGGTGATTATTACGAAACAATAAGTCAGTGTAGACAATTATATGACTTCCATGTAGGATCTTATACATTAGGAAGTTACATCATTACAAATCTACAATCTTTGTATTAGGTCTATTATTAGAGCAGTACTGACGACGAAATAGACCATAAATTCTACTAGAAGAGCGAATTGTAAGGATAAGGGGGAAAACGGAGATGATAATAGGAGATATAGGCATACGTGGTCATCGTAGCAGTGCGTAAATTGTGAGACATTCTCCAGACAGTTGATTTAGGCGGAAGATAGTAATCCGAAGGTGAGTACGTGTATGTCAAGTCTTCTAGTGACGGTAAATAAATCCCCCCAAAAAATCGTTCTGGGATAGCATTCCGATTGGGTCAAATGGTAATGAGAAAAAGTGGGAGAATACCTGATTTATTACTCTTCAATGTGCTACTTTTCGAAGGTCGACAGGAGGAGCATAGTGGTGACATTTTGGTAGGATGTTCGTGTTGAGTGGCTATGCTCACTCAATATTCTGTATGCCATTATCAGATCACCTCTTATTTCCTTATAGCTCAGTAAGAATAATCCCAATTGTCGGAATCCGCCCTCGTATGATTTATATCTTAGCTCTGTCTTTCAATTCTTGCTTGTCTTTGTTCTTGGCCTAAAGAAATGGTATCTCTTATAAAGAGAGGGAGCGCAGCGAAATTGTAAAGTTCGAGGCAGTTTTGCGCCTGCGTTTTTGACAGTGTTAGGGAGTTATTTTCACATAACGTTGGGAATCTCACCTTCTTTGAAAAAGTGTTCACAGCATGACATTTCAACTGGTTAAATTTATGATCAGTGTAAAATATCTCCATAACTGAGTAACCCACCACAGTGAAAACTGCATTTTCTGTAAAAATTTGATCTTGTCTGTAAACTGGCATGCCTCATATAACAGACTGTTATTTGAGAATAGATTATTATTATTTATTATTATTTTTGTTATTCCAACCCGTTGTCTGTTGTCCATTTTTCTGCTGTTGTAAGGTTTTTATGAAGCTCAAGTGAATCATTTTTGCCTTTTATGAACCTATAACAACCTAAGTTGGGTTGTTAAGAGTTGGCTGAAGACATCTTGGTACTGATTCTATGACCAATATACCTTATAACATATCAACCTAACTGAGTAACCTGTTACAGTGAAGTCTGTATCATCTTTAACAATTTGATCCTGTGTTAAAAGTGTCATACCTAATGTAACATATTGTTATTTGAAAATAAATAATTATTACTGTCGAAAAATTACGGCTCAAGTATCTCTCTCACTTTGTGTAGGCATTATATTTCTCGTTATCCTACATTGAATATTGAAAGCCTTGTGTGTTGGAAATGGTAACCTCGAGCTCCAGTTGTTCTGTTCCACGATCTGAATGAAAACTTACTACAACTATCAATCTATTTTTTCCAAATAGAAAATAGGGCATAAATATCATCATTAAAGATCTCGAGATCTTTGCTTCATTCGTATAGATTGGTGTCATTTCAAAATTTTAGAGACAGGAATGAACCTACTGAACCTAAGAACTACTGATTTTGAGACCCTCCTGCTCGCATTCACTTTATTTACTTAGGTACCAATTATCCAGTTATCTATGTGGTCTTGTAACTAAAGTCAGTGAATACTAACTTTTCAATCCTCTCTATGAGAAGGAAATGCCGGGGTCCGTTGTGAAGTCGAGGAATGTTACATCAACCGGTGTCTTTGGTCTCAGCAAATCGTCCAGCTGTCGCACTCCATGAGTAAATTGACCGCATATGATCTGCCTTTCCCATTTATTCAAGTGCACCGAAGGATTATTTAATTTAATCTTTCTTTAATTGTCAGTTTACTTCAGAGTTCTATGTTCGTTACGCTATTATAATCACGGTTGGACCCTTTCACTAGGTCTTCATCTCTTTTCACTCTTTTTCCCTCCCCACTAAATACTATTCCTAAGATTATAGGGTTTGGAATTAAGACAATCACTTATGCTATGCTTAAATCGACTTCTCAGACTCGTTTTATCTTCACTATGCATCTACGACTCAGGCATATTGATTATCCTTTTCACCTAATCGAGACTGCACAAATACTTATTCTAACGTCATATCTTACCTCAATAATAAGTCATCTACTGAATGATTTATTTTGTTTCATTTTATTATTATCACTCATTTGGCGATACATGTATGGTCGTTTATTCTCGTTCTGTGTCCATAAACACGCTTAATAAACTATTTACGTATTTCGCGCCCCCTTTATTTCTATTTCCTTAGTTTCTTCCTCTCCTTCTTTAAAATCAATTCAATATCCTCAATTACACAGGACCTGATTTATTATTTTTCTGTTATTAATATTTTATTTCCCTTGTTCTTTTCTTTCTCAAATATGGCAAATATAATGCTCACATTACTGAAACTTCTGTATTATTGCATTTTTGAAAAAAATCCGAAATGGTTTCTTCACAACAATTATGTACCCATAAGATGTTTGTGAACAATAACAATAATAGAGTTGTGTTGGCCTTTGTAAACGATATTATTCATATCCATGTATTCCCCTTTATGCTTGTTGACCAGTCCATTAATTACATTCAAAAGTGTTGGAATTAATGAGGCTGGTCTGTAACAGGCCTGATCTTTTCTATCCTTCCTTCAGTGATGCGAGAGACAATGGTCGGTTTTCATTATGTTAGTTGGTGCAACTCCAATGAATGCCTGAAGAGATTACGAACTGGTGTGTTTATGGGCTTCGAGCACTGTTTCAGACTACTGAGCGGGGGTTGTCACGTCCTGGTGACTTTCTAGAACATAAGGATTTGGGTTTTTCTAATGCGAACACAGTAGTTGGTGGGATATTTCCCAAACGCCAGAGTTGAAAAGTGTTCAGTGCTTGCAGGTTCCTAGAGTAGTTGGTCTATGAAGTCGACATGAAAGATCTCTACTACCTCTAATTTAGTGGGACCTTTGCTATTCGGTTTTTATATGGTAAAGATCCTTTGATTTGTAAGCTTCCTCTTGGTCAAGTATCTGTAGAAATATTTGCGTTTAGTTTGGATTTTCGTAGCTGGCTTGACCTGAAAACAACTGCTATTTTTGTGAACGTTCACGTTGCATTCATCTCTCAACGCGAAGCAGGAGTTACTGCAGGAAAACCTCTGAACAACTTTCTGTTTGTACTAGACTCTCTGTTCGGTCTATGTCAATCGTTCAGTGTCTCGCTTAACCCAGGACCTTCGTCTTCCGGGTGTACTCTGTGTGAGGTATATAGTGTTGGATAGCGTTCCTTCAATATCTCCCAGTGGGCATCAACTGTTGGCCTCCACTACTCTTTTATATGTTGAACCTGTTGACCGTGGTCTTTCGTGGTTGTGTAGTCTCCCTCGGTGTAGGTGGGGTAGGGAACATTCTTTTTCGTCCAAAGCGCCTCGTTTGTGACCATGCTAAACATGACTGTAAGGATGGAGTGCTGAGGTTTCCGGCTAGTAGTTTTCTATCAGACCTTAGTTACCATAGCTTTAGCATCACCTGTATTATCTCATCGTTACGAGTATCGGAATCCCTGGGAGGCTGGTATATTCCTCCAACCAATTGCTTTGTGCCGTTCACATTGAAACAACACCAGCATGATCCCGTCGCCCCATTTAATACGGCGGTGTTTGGTTTTACGGCTGTGAAGCGGATTCGAATAAGTACCGCAACTCCACCTCCTGTTTTATGTACCCTACTGCATCACGAAGCTATCACCCATCGCGAGCTCACTCCTTTATCCATGATGTTCGGTCCTAAACATGTTTCAGTTAGGATGCAATTGCTATTTCTACTGTACCGTGTTCTGAATTCAAAGTTACTCTTGATGGAGTGAATTTTCCCTTTGCGAGGTTTTGGCACTTGTACTGACAGGATAGTTTGGCACGGATGGCACCATTTCTCAGCATTATACAGTATTTTTCCCATTCTCCTTCATCAAAGGCTGGTCTACTTTCCATTGAGCTACTCTCCGCCGAAGGAAGGTTTATTCAACGTCTTCGTCCCCAATTTTTAGCGTTTTGAGAGCTTTTTGTTACCATTTTCATTCTCAAAGAAAATCCGCTGATTCTAACTGTCAACAGACGCCAAGAAAATAGCGATAGCCAACGATTTTGTTGGTGTATGAGCTGTAGTTGTGGATCATATGATCACGTGTTCGGCTTAGCTTGTGTCGAGCGAGTTTGGATATATTGATGAGGATTGATATAGTTGTTTTCAATAGAATTTCACACTTTTCATTAGTTTGTTCCGTTGATGTATATTTTTATCATGGACGCAAACGTACCAGAACCATGGACAGAGGTGACCTAACATGAACTCGTAGTACTGCTTCGGTGCTGCAGCAGCACAGAGACCGTGTACCCACCAATCAAAGAAATTACATTTAAATACTAAGTCGCTCGTTTTGACGAGCGATGGGCATGCGTCGCAATCATCGAATGGTTCAATTGTTTGTAGAAAGATTGAAAATAGCTTTCATAAACATATGTGTCTAATATCAATGATCACAGGAGCATTCAAGTAGGAACATATATATATATATATATATATATATATATATATATATATGAAAATATTCAGGGATGAATCACCTTCCGTAATTCTACATATTATATGATCGACTCCTATTAAATACATCAGATTTCCTTATACATGGCATCTATCAGGCAGTCTAAGCCACTTCAGAAAAAATGTTGAAGTAGAATTGTCCTAGAAAGCAGTAAGTATATTTACCATACAATCTCTTCTAACTTCTAGTCTAACTCTTGATTGTTCCGCCATCCACTTGTTTTAAGATTGAACATCACCAACTTCTTCAGAAAATAATTACAAGTTTCCATAACATTACAAGGAGTTATTAAACAAACTTTATTTGTTCTCACTTAAGATGTGGAGATATAATATTTAATTTTGCTTTGAAAGAATAAAAACACCGACCTCTTTGAGCACTTTGAAGTAATAAAACAACCACTATTCCAAAATACGGGGTCAGTCACGACTACTAAAGGTAGGTTGAATATTTCATCTGCAATACGGCCGAAAATGTGCTTCGACGTTATGGATACATGATGAGTACTTATATAACATTTTGAACTGACATTCCAGTCTACCGGCCCTGTTACATTCAAGCTATTGAAATTCAAACCCTCACTGTTATGGTCTTACAAACAAAACTGAAGCATGTGATGGCGCACTTATTATTCTTCCATCAGTCCAGGGTCTGAAAGCCGTTGAGAAGAACTTGTTCATCTTCAAGGATTCAACCATCAGGCAAGTTTGTCTGATTGCTTCCCAACCGCGTTGCCAAATTCACGTCCTTATACTCACTAGGCTTTCCATTGACCTTTGATATGATCATACTATGTGCATATTACTTGAAGTGGACTTTGGGAAGAATGAGTTCTCGGGGTCCTGTACCCAAGGTATGATTTAATCCCTTGAGCACGCGGCCATTGTCTTTGAGCTTTCTGTGAGTGGCTGCCATTAGACCCCTGTACTGTTACACTGTTCAAATGAGTCCTATGCACATTAGTCAGCAAAATCAAACTTTTTGGAATATGTCTTGTGTGATACTATGCAGCACCTCTCTTTAGAACCTTTATGGCACCGTAGGTTAAGGAACAATCTGATATTTCTCTACAAAGCAATAAATGGACTGTCATTCCTAACATCCTGCCCAACTACGATCAATAACCCAGCCTATAGACTGAGAAACAATGCATATAAACTATTTACCGAAAAACACCAAAAACAAATGCGTTGTAGGTTTTTTACAGTTCGGTATAGTTTATTGTGGAACAGGTTGCCAATACCTATCCGTAACTGTAACACCTTCACCAAATTTAAAAGGCTAATAACCCTGTTACTAAAAGCTAAAGAACTTCAACTATTCCTTGAACTCCCGCCTACCAATGAGGCACTTTATTATGGACGGCCAAATATCTAGACGGAACAAGAATATAACGAACTCCATTGTCGTTAGTTTGAATATAGCAAGACTAAAGAAAGCATGCTTCATCCTCCCCCACTATTTATTGATTATTAACCATGGCATTCCGCTCGTAACTCTCATTTTCGGTTTCCGAATCTCTCTAATGGATAAATCCAAATTATTCTTCTTAAGTGTCATGTCCTTTTATTTTTCTTATTACAAGTAGACAGATAACTCACTAATCTTATGGATGCTGACCAACTAAGGCCGATCAAAAGAAGCTCAAATGTCCTAAATTCTTGTGAGTTGTTCAATGTTTTGTTTTCCTTACCCTGAAAATTTTACAATATTCTCTTTCATATCCTCTGGTTTGCTATTAGTCCTTACCATCTCATAACCACATATAATCTTACTTGTCTCTTATAACCTTCGCCATTAGTTATCTTCATAGTAGTACGATATATTAAATGGATATCTAACCAATAATACAAGTGCTATTACCATCTGATTCGCTTGTTTATTTGCTGGTCGTGGCTTTAATACAGATATAACCTACAAATGCATAGCAATGTGTAGAATAGGTATTTTAGGGTGCTTATGTTTTGGTTTCTAAGCAATATATTGTCGTGTGCGCATACTTTTAGAATCTAGTGAACACTTGTGTTATGCGAGACCATAACAATATTAGTTATAACTAATATTCTATGATGACGATTCCCCATTAATCGGTGGTTTTGCTGAAAGATGAGTGCTGAAAAAGATGTGGGTCAAACTAATTTACCGGATTCTGTGAAGAACACTGTTCCGAATCATGGATATTCTCTTCGTAAGGGAGACTTCGCCCAACGGCCCATGTCCATTAAAAAATTTCTCGAGCCTTTCGACCACAGCAGCTTAACAAATAATGAAGCTGGTGAAAAATATGCAGCCTACAAAGCAAGTTTTGCTCGTCAACAGTTGGAAGAGTTTTTCGAAAGAAACAAAGAGTATGCTTGGTTCCGCGAGAAATATCACCCAGATTACCTCACAGAACCATCGTCCAACATGAAGTTGTTCCAAAGACGTTTAGAAATTTTTATGGAGTTTTATAGAAATGGCTATTTTGACAATCTACATCTAACCAGCGGTTATGAAAGTGAAATTGTCCGGCTGTTAGATATGGTTGCAATTAAATTGGCCGGTGGGACAGAAGAGGACTTTATTCTTTTGGACAAACTACGCGAAGATAGAATTTCTGAAAATCCCAACGTGATCATTGAGCCATCAACTTTTCAACATACAGAAAATCTTGAACCAAACGACAATATAGTTCAATCATCAGATATGCGAGAAGGACCATTTGACAAGGAGAAATTCGATGCAAGTACCACGAAAAATAAGCCCAAACCAGATTATTGTGATTCTTCAAAAGTCCAGAAGCGTAAAGAATCCAGAATCAAAAGACATCAAAATAATCCAGATGAAGAGGAGGAAGGAGAAGACAGTAGTTTAAGTGATGATGAAAGTAATGGTAGTGGAAGTGACAGTATAAACAGTCATAGTGGAGATTCCAGTTCAAGTAATAATAGTACTAATGGTAGTAGCAGTAGTAGCGATAGCAGTGACGACGACGATAATGGTAGCAGTAATAGCAGCAACAGTAGTAGTACTGATGATAATGATGATATGAAACACTAAAGGAAAGTTAGCATATCTAAAAGCAACTTGTAGAGACAGTGTATTCCAACTATGGTCCTTGATTAAAGCAATATTCACACTGACCACAAACGTAAGAGAGCATAACATCATAAAAGGAGGGAGGGTGGCGTTACTGACCAGCAAACATGATGGTGGGGAGATAGCTTCAATCCACCCGTGTCTGTAGGGCAGAACATATTAATTACGGCTCCTTATGTCTAGTGGAATGTCACGAACCAACAGTATTGATGCGAAATTATTCATGCAAAATACCACTTTAGATCATGTTAAAAAAAGCTAAATTGGTTCCACTTCCTACTGAGTAATCCTATTACAAGCAAACTAGACAATTGGCTAAAAACGAAGCCCAGTCTATACCCTATAAAATCTAAAAACAAAATAGAGAGTTCAAACAGCTTCGAAAAAAAGAGAGACAGCCATTTGTATCGGAATACTGTTTTCAGCACTTTATTTTATAATTACACAATTCCAAACTTTCTTCTGAACTACCTTCATTTATACAGTTCCTTACCCACTCGTACCTTGCCCACACTTATTTTTCTTTAACACATTAGTATGTTCTTACCTAATAGATACTTCAGTAACAGACAAATAGACTAAATGGTTATACATTAACTATTCCTCCATGAATATTGTGTGCTCTGCTTTTCGTCCTTCCTTTTTCTTACACCTTGAGCCTCCTGCAGATACTCCACCGAAAACAGATATGGCACGGGTGACTTCGTCCTACACCGTTATTAAAGCCTCAGATATTCTGGAGGGATATAAGTTCGAAACTTCTAAAAGCCCCCAACTTCGCACGTATCTATTCTCGACCACCAGTTGTATGTTGCAATGCTACCTCCATAAAGTGCGCCAAGTGTGATATTGATACGTTTCTTACGAAATCCATTTACATTCATATCTTATAAAATATCAACCCAGCTGAGTAATTTTCAACAGTGAAAATTGTAACTTCTTTAACAATTTGATCTTGCCTGTAAACCGGCATGCTTCATGTAACAATCTGTTATTTGAGAATAAATTATTATTATTATAACTAAAATAACTCATAATGTCATACGTTATTTGATTTATCAGAAGATCAACGCTTCAAATTTAAGGATTACATTGATATTGTTAGCAAAAATCATACCGAAGATGTGACTTTGAAATCAATGAAAAATTTAAAACAGACGGAGATTCAAGCTTCTTTTCCCGAATCGCCAGAGAAATATGTTTTCAATTATTCAAGCATAACATTATCGACTATTCAGCTACAAGCATTATCCCTAGGTCCAAAATTTTGTAGTACGTCTACTAACATTGATGAATTGAACGCTAAAATCCAGTTTGAAAGTCTTATTCGTCAAACAAATGACCTTATTCCTGTATCTAATAAAGATTTTGAGCATTTCAAAACAACTCTTGTAGACTGCTGTAATCAATATGTAAATGAAATCCCTACAGTTAGTCGCTTACTCACAAAAACACATAAATCTCAATTATCTGATCTTTGGAAAAATCATGACTTAGTGTTATGTCGCCCAGACAAGGGTGCAGAAATTGTACTTATGGATCGCCCTGACTATATTTCCAAAATGTCTTCGATACTATCTGATCCGGTCAAATTCTCTAAAGAAACCGTCCAAAATGACATAACTGAGAAAACCGAACAGATGCTAATTAAAATCCTAAAGAAGATGAAAGATGAGTTCATTATCAATTGTGACCTCTTTGAACATCTCAAACCATCGGGTTCTGTCGTACCTAGACTATATGGACTCCCAAAAGTCCATAAGAATAATGTCCCTTTACGTCCAATACTTGATATGAACAACTCTCCATATCACTCTATTGCTAAATGGTTAGTTGACATTTTACAACCTGTTAAAAATCATATCAACAAATACAATTCTCTTGATTTCTTTGAATTTGTCGACTCAATCAGAAATATCAACGTAATGGGTAAGAAAATGCTCTCATTAGATGTCACGTCGTTGTTCACAAATGTTCCTCTCACAGAAACCATTTGTTTTTTATGTGACTATATTGAAAATAATAATCTGGAGATATGTATCCCAAAACACTATCTTAAAGAACTACTCCTACGATGCACGCTCAATGTACAATTTAAATTTAATGATGGTTTCTATAGACAAACAGATGGAGTTGCAATGGGCTCTCCGTTGGGTCCTCTTTTGGCTGATTGTTTCATGGCCAATCTAGAAAATTTAGCACTTCGTTCAATAATCGAGAAATTTCATTTATATGGATGATACCTTCATTATTTGTGATGATAACATGGACCACAATGAAATATTAAATATTTTCAATAACTGTCACCCTTAAATTCAATTTACCTTAGAGGCAGAATCGAACCACGAATTCCATTTTCTTGATGTCCGTTTGAAAAGATTGCCTGATGGTTATTTACAAAGATCTATGTATAGAAAATCCACTTGGAATGGACAATACACGAATTTCCATAGTTGGGTTCCACTGAGTCGAAAGAGGAACTTAATTCACTCTTTATCATCTAGGATTAAGCTAATCTGTTCTAGTGACAATAAATAAAGAATTACTTCATCTTCGACAGACCCCCATCAAAAATGGTTATCCACCGAGGTTCGTTGATAGCAACTTAACATCTAGACGTCAGCAAGAAATCACAGTGCAGAAGAAAACCTTGTTTATGAATATGGAATTCAAGGGAGACACGGCTGCTGAAATCCTGAATAAACGGATTTCAAAAACGTTGAATAAAACTTTCTACACAGCCAAGCTCCGAATCGTTTTCTCTAGCCGGCCTACCATTCGGGGGGGTGTTAAGGATAAGCTTTCGCTTTGGGCCACATCGATGTGTATTTATAAATTTACTTGCTCATGTGGAGCACGCTATATATAGGCCGCTCAAAGTGATCGCTTTCCAAACGCATCTCTGAATACTATCCAGCTTGGCTCCTAAAAGGTGAATGTAAGAAGATAACCAGTTCGATACAAGAGCACTTGATCAATTGCGGACACATTGCTCCAAAAGAGACGTCTTTTAAAATAATCTATAGAGTTAAAGGAACCGGATCAAAGGGAGGTCGAATCAATATTTTATGCAATGCTGAGGCATTGGCAATTCATGAATTCAAGCCTGAACTTTGCGTGCAGAAACGATTTGTCCAACCTCTTACCCTTCCTTGGCCCTAATTCCCTCATTGGGTACGTTTTTTGTTTTTTTGTTTTTTTTATTTTTGTACTTTTATCTGATTGTTATCGGTTTACTGTTTTTTAAACTACTACTTTACATTTAAACTCTAATCAGTTATTATTATTATTATTACCTTATACAAGTTTTCTTGATTATTACTCAGATTATTATTATTATGACCTTTGTGTTTGTCACTTTTCTTCATATCTGTCAATTGAACTATTATCTGACCCATAAATTATTTTCTCCCTTACCCCTTGATTAGTACGTCACCTCATTTGTTATTTATTGTCGAATCCATTTATAATGCAATAATTTCTAGCCTCCTATAGACATATATTTTCCATATCACTATATATACGAATGTACAGCTTAAGTAAATGATTTCGTCGAAAAGAAAACTTTCTTCGTTGAATTCTCTTTTTCTTCTTCTTCTTATTATTATTATAGTGAACTGAAAGTCAAGTAACTGTGCTGAATTCAGTTCATAACCACACGAGTGTTGAATCTGATCACATAATAACTGAGAAAACTTACACTAGACGTCGAACACATAGATTAGGTCTAGAAAGTTCAATGCGGGAACACTTCGAGGAGACCGTGTGGCTCGCATACCTATTCATGGTCACTCTGCCTATTCTCGACATCCTGATATGGAATATATTATTCCATCCTCTGTCCGTAAGAGTTTTTCAAAAGTTATTAATAACATCCACCGACTTTCACGATAGGATGAGTCATTACAGATAGAGATATAAATTTGATAATAATAATAATATATTTCTGATGTAAGATCCTATAGATTATATTGTTGTATAATAGGAGTTCAAAATATTAGATTTGGTCCATTATCTTAGTGGCATAAATAAGTGCACAAATACTGACTCGTAGCTAAGTCCTACACCGATAAGACCGACTAAATACACGGGATCTCTTAGTAACTCAGACTCATTATGACTTTCTCGACTACACTTCACTTGCGTGAACCTATAATTAGTCCACTGATTCCTACATACACATAGATTTATAGCGATAAATAAGTCCCGGAAGCAAACAGTCCTGTGAATCATCAAGATTTCTGATGAATTCATTATTAGATTGCTTGGCTTCGTTAACATATAACGTGAAGAATTTTAAAAATGTAAGAATAAATGACGTGTAAACAATATCGTTCAAATCGCTGTAAAAGTGTGATCATACAACCTAGCTGTACTTGTGGTAAGTAAAACCCATCGCACACTAGTTGGGCGGAAAAGATTGGCATCAAATCACATGCTCTTGCACTTCTGTGGGTTATTGAAATTGCTGTTAGACTCATTATTTTATGGGGACATATCCCAGTTATGCATACACGTAGGATCATCACTTGCTATGCCGTGCTGGCAATGACATGCAACAAACTGCCATCTTGGATCACACTTCTGGACATATCTATGTTCGTTCGAGCACCATTTCTGAGTTCTAGTTAAAATATACTAAAATTCATCACTCAGAAATGCTTTACAGACGAAGGCGTTTTTGAAAAATGAATGTCCATGACATTTAGTGATGAAGCTGACGCATTACGGTTCACCAAACAATAACTTTTGAAACTCCTACCCGCTGAAGAATCATATACTTACGCAATGTAACATTATCGTTGAATTCTCAAAATGTTTTGCATATTTAAAAAAAGATTGTAAAGGATATGGTTGTTATTTTACTTAACACTTTGCCCTCTGTATGCACTCTCTGTTCTAATGAACGGTCTTCCTCATTCCAACCTTGACTTCCCTTCCTTCATTCGAACTTACTCCAG